AGGTCATTTCCTCCTTCAAAAGAGTGTATGATGTTAAAGATGTGCTATTTCCCAAAGACCCCCACCAATTTTCTGTGTTTTCCATGGAAGTGTAAATGCCACATGTAGGATGAGATGGTTACCAGGGCTCAGAACTAGCAGATAGTCACACTTCTGGACCAAGTGGCATGTAAGTCCTTTAGTTTAGGTAATAGTGGGCTGACGTCTCAGGTGGAGTTTATTAAATTTGCAAATCTGGCTACCTGCCAATCTCCGGAATGCCTGCTGGTCGTCCATCCCCACTGTATCCCTGTTAATACGCCTTGCAGAAATCCCTTTCTGGTCCTGACAGAGAACACTTTGCTCTCTGAAGCAAGCATTAATATGTCTTCCAAAGATTGGACTCATAAAGCACAGGGAAGACCGACACCATAGGTGAGGGATCTTTGACCAGAGCCACTATGAGGAAAAGATGGAGGAAGGTAATAAGCTCTGTCTGAAGGAGGTTTTGAGCTCCCCGTGAGGTTGAGTATGGACCAGATACCTAGGAACTTTTTCTTACAGTGTCAAAATATAAAAACAGCTAAGTCATAGGAAGTCAAATTATTACTGGTGTATTCTGAAACAGTAAGCAGCCATTCTTAAGCATCATGTTGGTCTCAGGTTGTGATAGGATATTCCACCCAGAGGGAAAATAAGTCTAGATACATAGTTTTACAAATAACCTTAGGAAGCTCATAGGTCACTCGCTCCCTCATATGGAGACATAACCCTGCTCTATATGATGGCTTTGGAGAAAATAACCCGAATGGTTTAGTCTAACTCATATTAATGATTTGTTTTCCCTCTGGAACAAAATATACGCTCTGTTGCAACCTTGTTCTACCACAAAGACTGCAGCGACAGCCTATTCAGCAGAGTCTCAGCAGATAATTCTTAGTTCAGAGTCTCCGTGAAATGATTCCAAATGTAAAACAACTCTCAGCTACTATAGTCAGTCATTTACTTTTTCATTATCCTAATGCCTTTTGCTTGTGAAAAATAAAACAGTCATGTTAACACAAACCTAAACGCTGAAGAATAGATAGAGATAGATATAGGTGCTTGGGAAGAAGCAGTATATGGTAATGGATTATAAAGTGTGCTCTGGAAATGTAAGACATTTTTATTCAGCGCCTTCCTCATTTGACAGGTTAAAACCTTTGCAGTTTTGGAGAATTTTGATAGAATAAAGCTATGCTGTTTTAGTTAAAAACAAAATGAAAATATATTTTGTGTATGTGGATGCAGCATTCATTTGGCTTACTTTTTATTTGTTTTCAAGTGTAGTAGGCTTGAGTATACCCAGTGGAATTTTTTTGAGGGAATACTATGTCCTGGGCAGTGCTCTAGGATCTTTACATATATTGTCTTTGAACCACTATTTCCTTACTTGTACAATGATAATGATACTGTGGTCCCTATACTGCAGTTTTGAGGGATGGAGAAACCCCAAAGTCTAATCCTTGACTTTGTTGTCCGTTCACTCATTTGTAAGCTATCTATTAGCCATTCATTCATTTATTTATTCACAGAAACTTTTGTGGCATATCTGAATTTTATATTCCTCTATATTCACTATTATTTGTTTTTCTTTATTCCAGGAGCTGGAAAAGGCTAGGAATTTGGGACTAATTACTCTACAGAGACAAAGCAGTCTTGGTATTTTTCAAAGTAGGTAATCTAAATTAAACAATTTTGTGATTTTCCTAGACCCCAAATCCTTGCTGTGGCCTGTGTGATTCCTGACTATGTCTGTTCTCTGCCCTGTGCATGTTCCAGTCAACCCTGGCTGCTTTTGAGTTGCCCCGGGAGGCAACCTTCTTCCCACCTTAGGGGTTGGGTTGCTTTTCTCTTGATTCTCTGCATAACTAATTCTTTCTCAGCATTCCACTCACTTCTTCAAACTTCACCTACTCAGAGATCGGTACTAGGGTCACCATATCTGTAGCTCCTCTCATTCACAAACACGGCCCCTTACTGGATTTCCTTCACAAATTTATGACTATCTAAAATGATGTTTTCTCCATGTGTAGTGGCTGTCTTCACCTCCTAAAATGCAATTTACATGACAGAAAAGACCTTGTTGGTGATAACAATGACAGTTACAGACTAGGTGTCAATAATGACTTGTTGAACGAATGAATGGGTTTTTGTCCCACACTGAGATTACATGAAGAAAAAACAGGGATTTTTGACTTGTGATTCCAAACTGGGCATTTTTGTTTTTTTTTCAAAATAATAGTAAATGTTTTGATTAGCAAAATTCCAGGCATATAGCTAATAGATAATTCAAGTGCTTTTTATTCATTAACTAATTTAATTCCTATAATCCCATAAAGTATGTATTATTATTATTCCCATTTTACAGATGCAAAAATCATGGTACACAGAAGTTAAGGAACTTGCACCTAATAGCAGGTTTGGAAGCAGGTGACTGAGCCAACACTCTTTACTACAAGTTGAAAATGCTCAGTAAACACAGTCTTCACTATGTGCTCAGCTCCAGCTGAGCGCTTCATGTACTCTGAGTCACTGGGTCCTCACTTGAAAACTGTGAGGTAGATACTGCCTTCTTCCTGTTCTACAGATGGGGAAGCTGAGGCTTGGAAGGTTTCAGCAACTTGTCTAAGGAGCAATAGTTGCTTAGTAGTAAAAAAGGGATTTGAATGTTGACAACACGATTCTAAAAACTAAAGTCTTAGGCTGTATCTCTGTATTCCTGGAACAATTGTGGATTGCTATATTAGAACACAGTCATTGTGAGATTTGTAAAAAAGGGATTAGTCTTCCCCACAGAAAGGGTCTACACTGGTGTACAGAAGGAGTATCCAGGCCTTGTCTACAGAAAAGTAATGACTAGGGAACAGACCACCTCAGAGAATGAATAGGAGAAGCAGAGTTTGTATCTGTATAACCACTTGACTGTAAGGAATAATATTATTGGCTAAATATCCACTTTTTTCAGAAAGAAGATAAGAATGGAATTTAGGGCTCAGTGCCTGTAGCACAGTGGTTACGGTGCCAGCCACATACACTGAGGGTGGCGGGTTCGAACCCGGCCTGGGCCATCTAAATGACAATGACGACTGCAACAAAAAATAGCTGGCTGTTGTGTTGGGCACCTGTAGTCCCAGCTACTCAGGAGGCTGAGGCAAGAGAATCGCTTAAGCCTGAGAGTTTGAGGTTGCTTTGTGAGCTGTGATGCCACAGCACTCTACCAAGGGTGTCAAAGTGAAACTCTGTCTCAAAAAAAAAAGAATAGAATTTAGCAATCTGATAACTATGAAAGGTCAATCTTTGTTTTTAAAATGAGCTCGGGGTGGGGAGGGAAATATATCTGTTTTTGAAACTTACTCCTTTTTTTTTTTTTTTACACTAAATACTTCCTTAGCAATTTAGTTCTATCAGTTGCCAACATCCTCTGTAGGGGTGATATGTTGTGTCTACTTTTTGTCTAATATTCATTTCCATCTCCTTAGGTAGACGTCATTAGCCATATGCATAAAACCAATATTCTCACAACACAAGAGGGGGAAGAAAACCCCTAGACTCTATGCATTATTAGCCTGGAATGAATAAAAAAAAAAGTCCTTGTGAAGGATTATGCTCATATGTGCAGAGATCAAACCTTTTTTCTTTGAAAAATTCCCTAAATCCACTGAGTTCATTTGATTCAGCAAGAGGAAAATGAATGCAGCCGGTATATTAAACTCTAATATTCCAACATTTTCATAGAACTTCTATGTGTTATGAGCACTTTTATGTACACAATCCTATGACGACCCTGAGTCTGTGTTTGATCCTCATATTTACCGAAATGTGTAGGCAGCACATGTTATTATTATTAAGCCTCTTTACAGATGAAGAAGTTGAGCTTAGCAGAGTTTAAAGAGCTTGTCCAAGCTCAGGCAGGTAATAAGCAGCAGAGCTGCCACCTGCACCAAAGTCTTTGGACTCTAAGTTACCTTCTGCTGCTGCTAAGGCCTCCCCCTCCCTTGTCAACAGAACCTGCCAGTGATGAAAATATAGATTTTCTTGTGACCAGGTCTGCCTCTAGGGCAGCGGTTCTCAACCTGTGGGTCGCAACCCCTTTTTAACAATGAAAATACATTGTGGCGTTAGGAAGGTTGAGAACCACTGCTCTAGGGGATAGAACCTATGGGCCTTAAGATATCCTGTCTTTTCCCAAGTGCTGTGTGTGTGTCTGTCATCTCACTAAGTTTCATCCCTGCCTACAGTAAAGTCTGAACGCAGCAGGAGGTATTTGTGGACCAGGACTAACATTATCTACTTCCATCTTTTCAGACTTTGATTCTCTTTCCTCTAGAATCTCCCGGCAGCTTCTCCTTGCCCCTGGTGGAACAGAAACAGGTGGGGCTGGCATTTCCCAGGGACTTGTCTCTCTTGTTAACACGTGTGTGCTCTGCGATCTGTCAGGGAGTTAATTTCTCAGACTTCTTACTCCTTTCCCCACTGTCCTTCCCACTGTTCCCACTTTCAGTGTTTCTCGCAGGTTTTGAGAAGGAGTTGCAGAATTTATCAAATGCAAATGTTGACTCAGGGAATGGACCTGACAGATGGCTGGTCCAGTAACTTCAGTTGAACATGCCTCACAGGGAGGCGGGTTACAGAGACCGGGTGACTAGCAGGAGGGAAACCAGCTAGCCTCAGGCACGGTGGAAGGGAGCCCAGCAGGCCACTTCTGGATGCTTTTTCCTCCTGAACCTGAAAGGCCACTAGTTCCTGCTGGAACTCACCTGGCTAGTGCCGAGGTCTGACCAGCAGAAGGCAGTAATTACTTATGCTTCATCTGATCGACAAGATTGTTGTTTACTCACAGGCACTGGCCCTACACAACACATAGCTGATTAAATGTATCTGAGTAATGGAGCTTTTTGAGCAGAAGCAAATCACGCTCCCATTGATGTGTAAAATATCATCTGATATCTTTTCACTGCAGATATGTGTGTTTGAACCGTCCACAACGCAGGATCAGAATGCTACTTCCCTGCCATGCCCTAGCTGTAGCTGCCATCCAGATCTTCGTCTTCTCAGAAAACTGGGCATTTGCCAAGAACATCAACTTCTATAACGTGAGGCCTCCTCTTGACCGTAAGTGGTGGTTGCCATCCCAGTTCCCAGCGGTGGGGTCGGAGTGTCCATCGGAAGCCCTCATTTCCATTTATTGTAACCTTTGCCGCTTTCTGTAATACTTAGTTTATAACCAAAATAAAACAGAAAGTCTTAAGTGGGTCAGAGTATGGTGACAGAAATTTTCTCCATTTCTTTCAAATGGCTTAGCTTTCTGCTAAAATTTTAAAAGGGTTCCTGTTTTTTTTTTCTTAAAATAAAACTTTTTAAAATTAAATCATAGCTAACTGTGTACATTAATGCAATCATGGGGTACAATGTGCTGGTTTTACATACAATTTGAAATGTTTTCATCAAACTGGTCAACATAGCCTTCATGGCATTTTCTTATTATTGTGTTAAGACATTTATATTCTACACTTAGTAAATTTCACATGTACCCTTGTAAGATTCACCGTAGGTGTGGTAAAAAAAAATGTTTTGAACACTATCCCTAAATCATGGCTTAGCAGAGGAGATTCATCGTTCATTGTTAGTCTCTTCACTGGAAAAGGATATTTGGCTGAGGCGAGTTTCTGCATAAATGATACGCAGTTCTTTCAAATGACCATTAACAATTTTGAAAACAGATTAATGTGTTTGAAATTTGGAAGAGAATACAATCTGGATTTTTATTGCTGTTATGCAGGATCAAAAATTACATAAAACTCAAGTTTTCCAAGTGACTTCTTCAGAGATTTAATAGTTAAGAGGGTGAGATGCAGAATATTTTTTCTTTTCTTGTTTTCTTTCCTGGTACCCTTGATCCACGGTCAAGTGTAAGAATCTGGGTCTTTATACTGTTCCTAAGTGAGGTCTGTATCATTACTGTTCTTTACTTTGTGTTTTCTTTATTATTGAGGATACTCAGTCATATCTGTATGTGTATACACATACATTATACACATGTATACATATACACATGTATACTGTCATCTATACACACCTTGAACTATCATTTATTTTGCATTTCTAAATTGATGGCTATACACCGATGACTGAAAGGCATGACACATTGTTTTCTTTCTTTCTTTTTTTTTTTTTTTAAGAGATAGAGTCTCACTTTATCACCCTCAGCAGAGTGCTGTGGCATCACAGCTCACAACAACCTCCAACTCCTGAGCTTAGGCGATTCTCTTGCCTCAGCCTCCAAAGTAGCTGAGACTATAGGCGCCTGCCACAACACCCGGCTATTTTTTTTATTGCAGTTTGTCTGGGGCTGGTTGGAACCTGCCACCCTCCATATATGAGGCTGGCGCCCTTCCCCACTGAGCCACAGGCGCCACCCAACACCTTGTTTTCATAGATTCTAAATTATCTACACACTTTGAAATTTTTAAGCTTTGTACAATTTTATGATGAGAAAAAAAATCACTAAAGAAAAGGAGAGAAACGTGGTGGGGTGCAGTAGATTACACCTGTAATCTTAGAGTTTTAGGAGCCTGAGGTGGGAGACACTTGAGGCCAGGAGTTCGAGACATAGTGAAACCTCATTTACAAAAAAATTCTCCAAAAATGGGAAAACTGAAAGTTTTACACAGGTTCCTATATCCTGGTCTATGTAGAAATGTCAAATTATTTTATTTTTTTCTTATTGCCCATTAAAAATACAAGGTACAAGGCAAAAAAACCACAAAAAAGAAAATGATACTAGTTACTCTAAATCCAGACTACAAGCAACTCAGAATTCCTTCTTTCCATAACACTGTGGCCTGAGTGTAAGGGCTTAAGAATTGCTGTCAGTCTTATATTAAATGTGACATTCCTGGTCAGGGGCTAATGTTGTGATAATTGACATATATCAAATGAAATTACTCATGTGAGGTTAAGTGTAGCTGTATTAGAAGTGAATATGGATGGAAACCAGCATGTTCCAATGTGCTGGAGATTCCACTGAGTATTTTTCTTGTAACCTCCTGTTTAATCTTCACTGTACCTCTGCAAGACATGGGGGATTGTCACTGTTATTAATGATATTATGAGATCTTAGAAGTTAAACATTACACAACTAAT